AAAAAAAAAAAAAAAAAAAAAAAAAAAAAAAAAAAAAAAAAAAAAAAAAAAAATATGATATTTATACAATAATACATTATAACATTAAATATGAATGGGAAAAAAAAAAAAATAAATAAATAAATAAAAATATTTTTTATACAAGGAGGGAAAATTTTTAGGTATTTATGTAAGTATTTATATATATATATATATATATCTACACAGTAAATATATATATCTTTTTTTTGTCTTTTTAGTTTTTTTTTATCCTTTCAATTTTTTTTCCATAATTTTCGTTTGTTTGAATTAACTTCTTCTTGAATAACAACAGTAGAAGCTAAAACGAATTCTTGCCAATACTTTTCAGTATCTATTTTGGAATCTAATTTTGATAAATTTTTTAACGAAGTAGTAAATTTACTTTCAGAATAAGTTGAAAATAATTTTGAATTCTTGTCATTATTATTACTATAATTCCCATTATTAGAAATATCAGAAAATGAAGATTCCCGATTAGAAAGAAAACCTGAAGTAGTGGAAGATCGATATGTTGAAGGATTGGAAAAAACTGAAGGATATCTTCCCGTAAATTGAGCCGATTGATTTAAATCAACAGAATTTGTTTTATCTGATGAAAAATTTCTATAAGTCCAACCTAATGAAGAAGGTTCTAAGAATACGATGTCATATTCATTTTCGAAAGCGGTTTTACGAAATTCAACTAAAGGTGTATTTGGATCATTTCTAGCTATGAATACCCATCTAGAACCATCCTTATACCTAACCCATCTATATCTTTGTATGCTAGATTGATCGAATGGAGTTGTAACTTCACCTGAATAACCTTTTGGTTCATGTTCACTACTACCATATTCAAATACTGAATGACTTCCTAATTCAGCATTATTGATTGAAAATACTCTTGGTCTTTTAATCCTTCCAAAAATTTTGGATTTTTTTATTTTAGCTTGGTCAATTGTCCATAAAGCGGTGGTAGATTTAACCGGTTTAAGGGCTTCACCATACCAATATAAATTATCAATATTATTATTTGGTCTATAGACAGTTCGACGATATGACGGCGTACAATTTGATGATTTGTCGGTCGTATTATAAAATAATTGTGTATGTGATTTATCATTCATTACATTCTTTTTACTTTTGGAATCGTAAGCGTGAGGTGAATATTCATCATCGTCATCGTCATTATTCGTGAATACCTTTATGAGCTATAATGTATAATAAATTTATTAATTATTTATTTTTATAAATATTAATTTTGTTTATTTTTTCCTAAAAGAGAGAATTTTTATTTGTTTACTTACTCTAAATGTAACTTGATTTCGTTCTTTTAATTCATATAAAACTTTATCTTCGGGAACTTTATCTTCAAGTACGGTAGTTGCATGCATTTTGCTTTTACGATTTTACGATGTTACGATGGTTTTTTTTTAAAAAAAAGTTTATTTTTTTAATTATGGTTGTTACTATTATTATAATTTTTTTTTTTTTTTTAAAAAAACTTTAAAATAAAAACAAATTTAAGCATAATAAAAAACAGCCCAAAAAACCAACGATTTTTATAAGTAAAATTTTTCAAAGTACGATACCCCGTTATTTACATTTCGAAACACGAAAAAAAACGCCCAATGACCAAAAATGGAAATTAAATTAAGGAAAGGGTTTTAGTATCTACATTAAGCTACATATATCAGCATGATATTAAAAATTATGAAATAGCTTATTTGGTCTATTTTTATTTACTTTCCGCAATTCCGTAAATTCCGATTGAGAAGAAAGGTAAGTTAATGTGTGAAGTATTATTCATTACGTAAACATTATTAAATATTCGAGTAATTATTTTTTTTTTTTTAAAAAAAAAACCCGAAAAAGGACAAATTTAATATATAAAATCTGATTAAATGGGATTGATTCTAGAACGATTTCAAAATCGGTAATGATAGTGTTTTATTTAATATAAAAGAACAGGGAAAGGAAAGAGTAAATTTAATTGGTTTATTCGGTAGATGTCCATTAAAGATCATCATCATAATCAAAATATCAAATGTTTACTTTTTTTGTCTTGACTGATTTACCTGACAATCATTATCATATAAATTTTTGGCGTTCTAATCTTTACCATTTTCAATTTTTTGTCACTATCCAAAAATTGATAGATAATAAATTTTGGTAATTCATACAAAATATTATTATCACATGATACTTTTTTTTCTTTGGTTTAATTAAAGTTCCCGTTTGAAAGTGTTTGAAAATAATTATCAAATCGGAGTTTTGAATATCCGAAAATATGTTGATTTTCATGACTTTTTCAAAAAGTTTTTTCTTTTTTTCTTTTTTTCTCTTATTGTTTATGTTTACTTTCATGAGCATTTGAACAAAACTTTGAATTTCTTCATATTGTTAGATATTTTCTAGTATTATTAAAGAAAAAAAGACAATTTTTAAATTTAAAGAAAAAAAAAAGACAATTTTTAAAATATTTTATTATTTTAATATACGGAAAGTTGTATGCGTGCGTTCAAGTTCGCGTATCTTATAAAATAGTATTATTCCATGAAACATAATTAATTATTAATAATTAATAATAATTAATAGAAGGTAAAAATTTGTTCCGTTTTCAAAAAAAGATAATTTTATGACGTTTCAAAAAGTCGATGATTATGACGGTTTAAAAAGGCAATAATTTTGGTGTTTCTAACAAGATAATACTCCATGACTCCATGACGTTTCATATTCTGTAGCATTTCAAAATGTGATATTTCCAAAAGACAATATTCTGTAATAATTTTATAAGACAATATTCGTGACGTTTTCAAATAGTGACGTTTTCAACAGACAATATTCCGTGACGCTTTCAAAAGACAATATTGTGTGGCATTTTCAAAAGACAATATTACGTGACGTTTTTAAAAGATAATGCTTTGTAAATATTATTATTTACCATTGTCATTAGCATTTAGAATACACGAATTCTTTACATGACCGACACCGGTACGTTTTCTTTCAATTCAATGGTTAATTCAATCGTTAATTCAATCGTTAATTTAATTATATTTCATACTTTATATTTAAAAAAGGATATCCGTGTAATATCGTGTAGTTATGTGTTGCTATATTCAACAAATCCATTGATATTTTTAACGTTTGAAATAGAATACAAGCACGTGAATGATTTTCAGATGAGTTTTATCTATTGTTGTTCAAAAGACTAAACAATATTGGAAAGATCTAAATTAAAAATCATTTAGGAGTTGCTACAAGCAGAAGTGATGGTCACCTTTTTTTGGTCATCATTTATCTTTAACTGTGTCTCGGCCAATACTCGGCCAAATGCATGGCCAATTGCAGTTTTTTTACACATTTAGATTTTGAGAATTATTCTATATTCTTTTAGTCACACCATAAGATTAATTGGACGTTATTTTTGGTCAATTGTCGCCATATTACTATAAATTTTGACACAATAAAAATATTGGTCATCAAATGACATTTTTTTTTAATTACATGAAATTACATGAATTTATCTTGTCAAACCTATAATGGATAACAATCTAATCAGCATTTATGGAAATCTAATATAGTATTGTGACTAAATATAGCCGGAATTAATAAAAAATTTACTATTTAAGACATATAAGGGATAAGTGAAAAAGAAGTACGTTTACTTGCACTACAGAAATACAGAAATAAGAGAAATCGTTTTTAAAACGCTAGTTATATTTCTTGGGATTGACTTCACGTGATATAATGATATATGGCGCAGCGTACTAGATACGATGTATTAGTAAAAGCATGAATGAAAGGTTAGTGAGATTAAAGTTTCGATGATCTTTCGTACAGTGAACGATCAGATAAAGTTAATCCGGTTGAAACGAGCGAGCTGAAAATGATTTATGTATGTATGTATTTCGATTTATTTGGGAATTGTATTTATTGGGATTTAGGATTTATAATTTTTGATATTTCGATTTATTTGGGATTTATAATTTATAATTTTGAAATTTCGATTTATTTGGGATTTATAATTTTGATATTTCGATTTATTTTGGATTTAGAATTTTTGATATTTCGATTTTAGGATTTATGATTTTTGATATTTTCGATTCATAGATTTTAGATTTTATTAATTTGAAATTCGGTACATGTACTGTATATACACTGTATATACAGTATACACTATTTTATTACATATTTATACTGGTATTGTCTGAGTTATATTCATTTGCACTTGATTCTTGGTCTTTCATATCTTCCAAAGAAGTTTCTCTAATTAATTCCGATTTCTGATAGATAAGGCCCAATCAAAATGACCAACATCGGACTTACAACTCCGTTCTCCGGGTTATCAAATATCCGTATACCGAGTTGTGTAATATAAATCTGCACGTCCTGCACGTCTGCAACGCCTCATATAAGCTTACCCAAATTGATCCAACATTTTTTGTCACATTCATCAAGTATCGGCACGACATAAAATCTTAAAAATAACTCAAAACATCATAATTGATGCGCAAAAAGACCAAAAAAAGACCCGGCCAATTATGTCAAATAACTATAATAAAATAGTTTCATTATCGAAATAAGGAGAGGTAAGAAATCAAATAGTATCATTTTTAAGAATTGGTGAAGTTCAGGTTAAGCTCGATTCGCTCAATTTTTAAATGCATTTTGATGTAAAAATTGGATCATCTATAACTCATTATAAGGACCTTCATTAATACCACATTATACCGTTTATTAAAGTATATTAATTATCTAATTATTCTGACTTCATGATTTTCATATTCAAAATTTACCTGATTACTTTGAAAAAGTTTAAAATATATTTTAAATAATTTTTAATAATGTTTTCATCTCTGAAGTTGGGATAGATTCATTTCTAAAGATGATTAAATTATATTAAGTTTTTATTATCAGATAATATCATTTTTTTTTTCTCTCTTCGCACAACTATATATTTAATTTATTATGTCGCACAAAAAGGGATGTGTTTTGTCATATCATTATATCAAAAATGCCAAGATAAAAGTAAAAAAAGGGTAATCTAATCCCTTTAGTTTCTAAAAATAACNTTTTGTTATTTGAAAAAAAAAAAAAAAAAAAGGAGGCTGAACTAAATGTGTGATTCCGTAATATTTTTATTTACTCAATGAAGAAAAAAGATAATTGATTATGTTGTAATACATTTCCATTCAAGAAAAAAAAAATTAAATCTAACCAAACCTTTTTAAATAAATAATTTTTTTTTATTTCTCGGGAAAAGTTGATTATTTGAATGGGACTAAGAAATAACCGTACCGTAAATACCCATATAAAACTATTAATGTAGTACAACGATATTACATTTCACCTCTTTTTTACAATTTTCTTACATTATCTATACATATCAATACAAGTTTCTAAAATATAAATAACAATAATGGTATGAAAAAAAAAAAAACCTTAAAAAAAAAATGATTGTAATTAGTAATTGAATTTTATAACTATTAAATAAAATCGATAACGGCTCAGAAATTTAATCATCATTAAAATTTTTTTAAAAAAAGGAAATGAAAAATTCAATGATAATGAATATGGAAGGACAATCAAATTATTTTTTAGATTGCGCAAAATATCAATTTCGTAAAATAAAATTATTACCTTTATTAATCGCTATATTTGTAATATTTTTATTTGCTATACCTTATTATACCAAATATAATGAAAATGATAATCCTCCTTTGGTAGACCTTGAAGGTAATGCTCCACCTCTCTCTGATGATGATGATAATATACAAAATTCAAAATGTCCAAATTATAAAATGGTGTTATTTATTTCTTCGGAAATGGAAAATATTGAAAAACGTATGTTAATGAGGGAAGAATTATTTGGTATAACTGATAATTTGGTTCCTTGTATGAAACAAGATACTTCAAAAATTTTTTATAAATTTTTGATCAAGAAAAAAAAACCTCTTGATGATGAAGCTTTTAGAAACTTTTTATCTGAAAAAATGGAATATAATGATATAGAAGAAATTACTCCTAAAGTTGGTGAAGATTGGGAACAATTGATGCTCAAATATGTAAGTTATCACGTTACGTATTACGTGTAATAAAAGTATTTTACGTGTAATAGAAGTATTAATAATTTTACAATTTTACTTACATATAATAAATCATTAAATTTTTTAGGCCCAATTATTACAAGAATCATGTATAACATTCGATCATTTAATATTGATCGATGTTTACACTATGATAAATCTCGAAAAACTTCAAGATAAAATTTCTTCTTTGTCAATTGCCAATCAAACAATTTCAAATACGAATAAGATGGTATGGGGATCATTCAACACTAATTTAACAGATAATATGGCAACTATATTAGGATCATCTGCCATAAAACCAATTCTTAATCATTCAAATCATCCTTCAAAGAATTATACTAGTATTATATCAAGATTTTATTATCATCATTTAAATCATCCAAATGAAAAAATTCCTGATGATTTGATCTTAATTAATGATCCATTAAGTATAGTAGAATGGCCAAATTCTATCAAAAGTATTCCTTGCGTAGATTGTATTATAGCTATAGGTCATATTTATCAAGATTGGGAAGTTAGAAAGATTAAAGATAAACTTAAGATTTCAACGATTATTCCTTGTAAAGTTCGTTCAGATATTGAAATGTATTCAAAGAATACAAGTAAATTAAGATCAAATATAGTTGTAATGACAAGTAGTTTCTTATATAGTGACAATTGTATGTTAGAAGCTGCTCCTCTTTCTGCACAAAATAAACGTGATTATGCCGAAAAACATGGTTACGCTTTCGTGTCTCGTTCAACAGAATTTGTTCAACAATTATTAAGAAAGAGAAAAGAAGTTTGGGGTAAAATTGATGCAGTAGAAAAAGTTTTACCTTATTATGAATGGTTAATTTGGTTAGATATGGACGCTATTTTTGTTAATAGAACTCTTTCTATTGAAGATTTATTAAAAATGAGTGAAGAAAAAGTTGGAGGAAAAAAAGAATTTGAAAAAATTAATTTTATTGTCGCAAGACCTATTGGTGATGATATGATTAATGCTGGCGTATTCTTAATCAGGAATAGTGATTGGGCTAGAGACTTTATTAGGAATGGTATACAAGCAAGAAGGGATCGTGCTTATCGTGGTATGAAAGAACAACAAGCTATGCGTGATGCTATTAAACAACCAAATTGGAAACCAAATGTGAGTAACTTTATATATTCTTTTTAAGGAAAGGTTTTTTTAAAATTTAATTAATTCTTACATATTTTTTATTTTTAATTTAGGTTTTATATTTGAATGGAGATGATCATACGATAAATACTTTCCCTGATAGGTACGTTCGAGGTGATTATATCGTACATTATGCTCCTGAAGAAGGTTGTCCTGCTGACCCCGTACTTGGTGGTCTAAAAAAGGTTGCAATGTTGGAAGAATCTCCTGATGATGAAATAATTTTACCATTTTAAGTTTAATAAATATTAGATTTTAGTTAGTTGATGTATGTATTATATATAAATATATATACAGTCAGTATACAGTATGTAAAAAAATAGTATATATATATATAAATGTAAACAACATAAAAGATTTTTTTTTTCTTTTAATAATAATAATAATTAATAAAATTATAAAAACTCAATTCTAACTTAAAAAATTTTACTGTATTTAATAATGTCATATCACGAGTACGTGAGTACATGAGGGTGGGGAGATACTTATACAGAGTCTTATACAATATGTCAGTATATTGGAATTTCCGTTAATTATATTATCAGACTTATCTATTATCAGTAGACAAGGAATCAGAACTTTTTACTTGCCCGGGATGGTAACTCATATAGTGATAGACTGATAGTGACATTTATAGTAAGTGCTAGATATACTGCTCTAATGACGCACGGTGATGGCAATAGTCACGAGGAAATCGGCAGTTAGCCAGACTTTCGTCGGGGTAAGCAATGCGCTGTTAGTCATAAATGGGATTGCTATGGTAAGGATATGATGCCTCGTGTAGTGATAGATTAAATTCTGCGAGGCTAATCTCATGATAGATTTGCGATAACGTAATAACGTAAGTGACGTATAGGGAATCTAGGGGGGGGGGACCTATTACAATACTAAGACCCTGTAAAAAAAGTCAATCCGTTCCATCTTTTTCCGTAAAAGGCTCATATTTCCGGAATTAATAACTTTACGGAATTTATCGAATTATTTACATTTTCCGCGAATAGATCCGTTAAAGGCTCATTTTTACGGAGTTTTTACAACGAATAAAATTTTTTATAGGGAGAATGTTTTTCTAACTAAAAAAAATGATATTCTGTATTCTCGAATCAGTTCAAAAGTTCCAATAACAACTACACATTGAATAATATTTTTTCAAAGTATTTTTTAAATTAAAATAAAATTTTTATTAATATTGTTATAATATTGTTAATATGTTAATATTGTACAATAAAATCTAATAAATCAAATAAATCTAATAAATCTTTCTATGGTACAAGAAAATTTTTAAATTAGGAAGATATTATCTTTTTTTGCAATTAAAAAAATTCAATTCATAACCAAAATGTAGACTGAAGAAAAGCTATCACTATTCAATTTTCCCAAACTATTACTTTTGATTCTAAGAATCTAATATTCTAATTAGTAAATAATGTATATATATATAAAGAATTTTTTTTTTTTTTTTTTTTAAAAAAAAAAAAATTATTAAGTCTCGTTCTTCTTTAAATATACAGGTACTCAACAAAAGATAATCCGGCTTCATATAGGCCAAGGGTTTTTTTTTTTTTTTTTCAAAAAAAAAAAGATTGTACTCATTTGAAGGTGGCACAACTTTGAAACCGATACACAGTACCAAAAAAAATTTTTTCCATTGTCGTACTTTGTTATAAAGTCCGGAACATTTTAGCTTTTGGATATGTTCCGAATTTACAGCCGATTAGGTCAAGTCGACAACTTAGTCGGCTATTCCATGAAATTGCGTTTCACGCGCGCTATCAACGGATCAACGGATTGGCCAACCAAATTTACTAATTAGCTAAATGAATATGTTTTTAAAAAAATACTAGTTTAATAATTAAATCTTAGGAAAGCCACACAATAGCCCATGATTCTCGACGATGTCAGATCGTATCTGTTAAAATTTTTTTAAAAAAATATAAATATTCATTTCTTTTCATAACTATTACTTGATTGAATTTTTCTTGTCAATTTTATTTTGAGAATATGCAAAGTATTAAATACGTACGATATTATTAATATTATGTTTGACCTTCCCTTCATGGTATACTCTTTTCACGGCGGTGAACTTGTGAAGGTCTAATACTCCTTTTGTGTCTTTAATACTTTCTTTGATGCTCCCTTTGTGGAAGTGAACTATGCAAACTCTTAACGTAAAAAATTTTACAGAAGTTTTGTTATAAATTAGTACTTGTCTTATTGCCAATAGAAATGTAGTGACCTTATCCTATAGTGGCCTTATCCTAATCTTTTTTAATAAATCCAACTTTATAATTCAAAAATACATACATCTCTTGACATTTTTTTGACATGTGAGCAAACTTTACGGTTTTCAATGGATTCCATTAGATCGTCCTCAGGTTCCCTATAATGAAACAAAATCAAGGACGAAATATATGTTCCCGGTGGTACTCGTTAACCTACTAAGTTCTTAATATCTTAGATAAGGAGTTCGTCTCGCAATTTATTTATTAAATAAATTTTCTTTTTCTTCATTTTGTTTAGAATGTTGTAGAAACAATCAAAGAATCAGGAGATGGCAACTGCGGCAACTATTATCTATACCCACGGAAATTTTAATTTAAATACATAAAATACAATTAAATTTTAGTTGAAGTCAATTGTATTTCTTGAATTGGAGATTGATTATTTGCTTACTTTATTTTTAATAAACATAAATGAAATTAAATTACATACATGTACTGTACCTTCGATGAAAATTCAGACCATCAAACCACGTATTTAGGAATCTCATATCTTTTAACTCGTTAGATAAATTTTCTTGCAAAGTTTTTGATAATGACATATATCTGATTATAAAATGTCCATAAATCCATTTATTTCATCTTGTTAAACTAGAATACTAGACGTATAATTTTAATAGTTCTTTATTATACAACGTTATAAATCCGGTCCATATATAAAAACTTGTTGCTGCAGTTGTTGCAGCAGCAGCTGCCGTCGCTTCTATCGTTATTGCTGCAGTTGTTGCTGCAACAGTTGCCGGTGCTTCAATTGTTTTGCTGCAGTTGTTACAGCAGCAGTCGCCGACGTTTCTGTTGTTTTGCTGCAGTTGTTGCAGCAGCAGTCGTCGTCGTTTCTGTAGTTGTTGCTGCAGTCGTTACTGCTGCAATTTTTGCTGTTGCAGTTTTAGTTGTAGTAGTTGTAATTGCTCTTTCAGATCAACAATAACGTTATGCATTATCCTGTCGTCGTAACTGTTGTGTTAAAGAACTTTTCTCGTTATTGATTTATTAAAATTTTGAGACGATAATTGCTAATTACAGCAAAAAAAAAAAAAATAACAAAAAAAAATCAAATTCTTTGCATCGATAAACTTACAATAATAAATTAAATTATTAAATTTTCGTAACTTTGTAGTTTATTCATTAATTTGATACAAAAGATAACAAAAATATTTAAATTATTTCAATATTTCAATATTGATCAAATTTTTGACTCAAAAAAAAATCGAACATAAACTGAAAAGAGGGATAACGCATCCCACAAACGAGTCCTATCATACTATGACTCTATGACTAAAATTTTATCATTCAAAAGATAAAAATACATCGTTAAGAATTCTAAGAATAACATCGGCCGAATTTTATTCTAGAAATAATTTTTATTCAAAACAATAATTTTGTATATATTATAATTTTTTCACCGAGAGAATTTCCCGGAAACTACAATCCGAAAATATTATTTGGTAAATGACCTTCCTTATTTTAGAGAAGACGACAAAAATTACAACCGCCGATCAATCTGACAATGAATTTTTTATAGAAGCAAATTACTATATAAAGAAAGATTCTAAATTATTACTTTCTTATGATTATAATTTCTTTGTTAGTACATCAAAAGAAAAAAAAAAAATATCTTAATATAGATTTGCATTATTTGTTTACTTTTTATGTAACTCATAAAAAAGAAGACGACCTTTTTTCGTTTTTATTGACAAATGGCGAACTGCCATGATAATATTGTTAGATATTGCAGATATTTGTAGATATTGCAGTTTGCAGGGAATGTTTGTTGTTTGTTATGATAACCCTTGTTTCTTTTTTGAAAATAAAAGAAAGAAAGAAAAAGAAAAAGAATTGAACAATATTACATTTTTTTACAATTATTTTAATTCTCAATGACTCAATGATAAGGGGGAGGGAGATCTTTTAAAAAAGGGAAATAAAAAAAAAATAACCCTATTCCTTAATCTCAAAAAAATTAAAAATCTGGCACCTTCTAAAAATTCTTCGTGAATTCTAAATTTTAGAGACTCGTCTTTGTTGTATAAATATATGAAAGAGAAACTATAACGTGTTACGTGAAACTTTTTTTAAAAGATGAACATGACGTAGAGAACTTGAACTTTTATAGAAGAAATTGTAAATAAACCTGCGATGAAACGTATTAAGTTTTTCGCGTAAACACCAAACAATCACGGGTTGTCACTTTTTTAGAGCGGATATGTCGATATTGTTCGATATGTTAATCTTTTTAATATTTTTTTAATCTTTTTTAATATTTTTAATATTTTTAATATTCTCTTCTCACGCGATTGGAAATGATAATTAATAATTGATAATTGATAATTGATAATTGATAAATTGATGAGATTTTATAGGATAATATTTAGGAACTATTTTTTTTATTTTTTTTAGTTTTTATCTTCGGCGTTCCTTTCGGGCGTTACAATAAGTTACAATAATTACACCAAATGACATAAATAAAACATACAATCAAATTTTTTAAGATTAGAAATATTAATATATACTTTTTTATTTTATTTTTTTTTGTTTTAAATAATATAAATGGAAAATATATAGTTAAGTGTAAATGAGAAAAATTTTGTACAATTAGTTTTTTTTTTTTTTTTAGACTACTTTACAATTTACATTTAAAAAAAAAAATTTTTTTTTTTTTTTCTATTGTAATTACAGTAACCCTATTGTAAAAAAATTATTGTAAAATTATTATTGTAATACGTGAGCTGCATCCATATATAATTTTTCTACTAAAACTCTATATTCATTTTCCATTAATTTTCTTAAATTTGATTCGTCCTTTCTTGTGAATGGTTGATCATATAAACGCCACTCTGCGTTGTACGAGGGACACTGTTTTAATAATTTTGAATCATATTTGAATAATAAACGAATATTCTCGCAACCATCTTCTTCAACAGTTTCAGATTCTAAATCTTGTAAAATTTCAAATAATTTTTGTTTCCTATGAGCGATCGTTTCTCGTAATTGTTTACGGTCATCAGCTTCCCGATTTTTTATGTCGGTTAAATAGACTTCAGTTTCAGGGGTATTATTCTTATTTTGTTTGGCGTTTCTAGTATTTCTGTAATTGGAAGAGAAAAGAATGAGATATTTGTTTTTTTTTCGAAAAAATAAAAAAAAATAAAATAAACATATAATAAAAAAATTTACCTTAAGAATCTTGGTTTATAACATTCATAACAAGAACGAACTTGAAATTTCCAATATACGCGTACCCAATTTTTTCTTTCACCGCAAAATTGACAACCTCTTTCCATCATTGTTAAACCAATATATTCTTGTTCAGTTAAAAGATAAGGAGGAGGTAATTGAAGATAACGCATATGTTGATGTCTTGAATTACGCCATATGGATTGAACCGAAGGATCGTCGGACATAAGTAATTCTCGTAACCGTTTACAAGTTCCAGCGAGAGCGAAAAGTTCATAAGGTGTAAAATCTTTACAAATTAATAAAAGATATTCAATTGAAATATCTTCAAGTTTTGAAAATTTATAAAATTCTTTTTTTGTAACATCTTCTTCATCATTAAAATTATTATTATTAAAATTAAATGATGATTCTTTTTTCGGTGAAAAGAATTTTATGAATGGATTACTTGCTAAGAAAGCTTCTCTTGTTACATGAGATTTATTATTTTTATTATTGGGACTATTAGGACGAAATATTCTTTTTGCCAAAGGTCTAATAGCCCAAGGAATAAATTCTTCAAAAGGTGTAGCAGAAGTTTTTGGTGCCATATTTTATTTTTTATTTTTTTGTTAAAAATATAATAAATGATATTTGAATTATGATAAAAATTTCGTATTTTTTTTCGTATTTTTTAGTTCAAATATTTATAAATGATGAAACAAATGAAACAGAAAAATCACTACACCATTTTCTATATGACAGAAACCCTTTTTCGTGATTACGGATTCTCAAGGGAATTTAACTTTGAAAGTTTAAAGACTTTTTACGATGATTCCTTCCAAAAATATTCAAATGTAATTGTAATTAAAATAACTTTAAAATAATAATATATATGTGTATCGGGTGTAGGGAATATATATAAATGCTATTATTGACTAATAAAAGAAATTAATTGAGGTAACCAACAAATCTTTCAACCCGGCTGTGTTTAAATGATTACCTTATTTGTTAGGTTGATTAAGTCATCTCACCAGACCAGTTTACTCTCTCGTCGTCCAAATTCAGAATATCACTAACGAATACATAACGAATACATAATTCATCCCCAAACATTTATTTTTTAATGACAATCGACCTTTTAAAACGTAGAAGAATAGAATTCGATGGGTAAAAAGAAAAAAAAAGTAACACAAAACAACACAAAATGACAAAAATAGAAAATTTGTAAGTCTGTTTTTTTTTTAAGGAGGCTAAGTTTGATTTCATTCAGGAGAGAGAGAGAGAGAAACATTTTAAATAGGATCTATTGGATCTCGTTTTTTTAGATTCTTGTTTTATTTATGTTACTTTATGTAAATCACTAAATTTAATAGATTTTGATAAATGATAATAAACATTGATAATGCAAAAATCAAATAAACTTGTTTTTTTTTGTCCGCAGCGTGTTTCAATTACTTTTTATATACACTTTATACCACATGAATATGCATCGATATTATTTATTTATTGCATATTAACTTTGATTTTCTGACTAAAAGAGTGAATGAATGTAATGAACGTATTAAGTTGTATGACTTTTGTGTTTATTCCGGGTATTCTGATGGTATTATCTGGTAAAAATTATATAGTAGACGCGTAATTCATATAAAATTCATATAAGGATTAATCAATGACAAATCTTTTCGTGGGGTTATCTTCGATGGTTTTACAATTTTACGGTAAAAATTTTCCCAGCATGAAAATCATACAGCAGACAGATGAGACAGCATGATAGTACTGTAGTAGATATTAGATATATTAGATATTAGATAGCAGATATTTTATTATTATTAAAAATAATGAATTCAATTATCTTAATTATAAATTGGGGTTTAATCAAATGTATTTTACATATTTTACAATAAAAAGAAGATGCATTCGATCGATTTTTTCAAATTCATTGCATCTTTACTACTTTGATTCCATGAACAACGAATGTCTCAACTGCAAGGTCATACATAAAATGAATCAGCAGATTATTAACCGGCAGATATTTTATGCATAATGTGGTTGAATATTTTAACGCCACATACTTTTTTTTTTACCGTTTTATTAGAACGAATTCCGTCCTTTGATAATTGTTTTAATATGGAGGGTTATGTCCGTAGATCAACACAGGTTGTAATAATATATATTTAGTTAATCAGTACTGTGGCATCATACACATAAATTCGGAGTTCATAATAAAAAAAATTGTCACATGCAAGTTCTTTTTTTATCTCCCCCATTTTTTCTTTTTTATAGAGATATTTAAGGAATAAATCTATTTAACTCTATAAACTTTAAATTTAAACCACATAAAAATTTGGCTGAGTTTGAGTTTCATATTAGTACTCTTTTATTTTATTTGTCATAATCTCGTGAAAAATGATTCGTTTCAATTCAACTTAACTAATTTTAGTCAGAATCAACTGTAATTATTAAGTAAATGATTGCTAATAAATAAATAAATAAATATAAATATAAATATTTTAGGTTATGCTTATCGATTTTATATTGATAAAGAATATAATTTACCGTAAAAATCGTAAATTATAGAATGAATTTTTTGATACCAATGATAACTTTTACTTAAAAAATGATGTTCCGTTACATGTTACAATTAGCTATTTTCAAAAAAAAATAAAAAAATGTGTGAATGTATTTCATTTCCGGAATTTTTTCCGAATCCAATCGTAAAGAAACATTTTTATATGCACTTAGAAATTTGGAAAATTCCCATTTAATATGCAATTAGTAATATATATGAAATTATATTTTCTTTGACTTGTTTCTTTTTGGATAAACAAAAGGTGCATCCCATGAGATTTCACATCCCGTACGAAAAAGCCGAATTTTTTGTCAAAAGATTCCATTAAATTACATAACCCAATTTTTTTTTTTTTTTACTCTGACATCAAAAATTTTTTTTTTTTTTAGAAATGTTTTTAAAAGGCGAAAATATTCCGACGGTCCTTTTATTATTATTATAGTAATTACATTTTAAAAAAAAAAATCGGTTATCTCCGATTACGAACGGGTTTTTATCATTTTAATTATTATTATTATATTATTATGATATTTATTATTATTATTATTATTATTAACGGAGTAATTCCAATACCCCGTAATGACCAAAAAAATTACAGTATATTTTAATATATTTGGTTAAATTGGTTCAAAAAATAAAAAAAGGGTGCGTCCCTTAAACTTAAATATTTCTGTTTCAAAAGAATAATAGGATAATTGTGTGAAATTACACAAACTTTATAAATTTGGTACAAAATAATTATTTATGTGGTCTTATTGAATCCCGATTTGAATTCTTGACCGGAATTAATTTTTCTAATTTTTCTTAATTTCGCCCAAATTTATCAAATTTTGAGTGGTTTTTTTACTTTGTAATTTTACATTATATTAATAAAATCATTTATTTATTAATAAAAATAATAAACTTTTGTTTTGATGAATATCGTATCTCACGTGACCGTAGAATCACGTGATTATTGATAAATTTTATTAGTACTTATGTAATGTAATTTGACTTAATTTTAGTTTAAAATTTAAATTTAATTATAAATAATATACTTTAAGGTTAAAAATTAAAAATTATATTAAAAGATAAAAAATTGTCATATATTAAGAATCAAAAAATAAATATATTTAAAAAGTCAAATATAGTAATAAAAATAAAAATAAATGAAAAATAAATGAAAAAGTTTAATCAGCAAAAAAAAAATTATATTAATATTAAATTTTTTTATAAAAAAAAAACTATTATAGTAATTACTATTAAAAAAATCAGTTTAATATCTCTGATATAAACAGATTTTATTATTATTATTTATTAATTATCCTTATAATAGCCAAAAAAATTACAGTATATTTAATAAATTTGGTTAAATTGGTTAATAATTTTCAAAAAATAAGGTGTATCAGGATCTGCTTACTTATAAGATAGGTCACCTTTAGGTTTAAAGTAAAAATTATATATAAAATTCTTTGCAGATTTTACTATTAAAGAAAATTTTATATTACATTATTATGATTTTTTTTCTTTTTAATTAATTAGTTAAGGGCCAATTTTTTACAGTAACCTTCATTATAAGTAAGTAGATCCTGATATATCTTTAAACTTAAAGATTTATTTTAAAAGAATAATAGATTAATTGTATGAAATTACTTTTTTTTTTGTCTTCAATACATTTAATATATTAAGATAATAACAATGATTGCAAATTCTGAGTAAGCTATATATCTGATACCTTAATTTATTAAATATTAAATTACTTGTCATTTTATAGTAAAAATTTCATATCATATATACTATTAAATGGAAATTTTGGCTTAGAAAGTAAGGTAATTGCATAAAGCATCTCTTTTTTAGAGAAGTTCTCTTTTCTCAGTCAATACCTATAAGTGTTTATACAAAATTCACTGTGAATACAAGACAAAATTTAAAATTAAAAAAAAAACAAAAGAAGTGAAACAATAAAAATTTAAAGTAAAACTATTATAAATAAAGAAAAATAAAATTAACAATAAAATCTCCCTATACATTTTAAAAAGACCTAGTAGTCTATATTTTTGAACATTAAATTAATACAACCTCCTTATTAACTAAGGTTGCTTGTCTAAACCTCTTCAAAATCCTACGATTAGTTTCATCAAAATTTTACTATAGATTTATTATAGTTTCAGCAGAGTTTTGGCAGTTTCGGCATTTATAATAAGTTTCGGCAGTTTCGCCTTTCTCCAAAGTTTCGCCAGTTTTTTAATATAACTTTAATATAGTTTCAGCAGAATTTCACTTTTCGGCGAAACGCCATCTTACCTAAACCCCTAGGTTTCGGCAAGCAACCTTATTATTAACATTGATTTAATTTTTACTAAAATGGTCATTTTTTTTTACTAACCTTATTTTTATTATTTTTAGATATCACAAGTCAAAAAGTGAAAAATCAGGTATCAATTAATCACCAATCAGCTATCTGATTAGTGACTGATTAGTGACTGACACTGTAAAAAATCTGATCCATGTTTTATCTTTCCATGTTTTTTCTGTGAATGTATCATTTTCACAGAATTTTTACGGAAGATACGAAGAAATAATGGAAATATTCAGATAAAAATTTTTTATGTGGTGATTGATGCCTGATTTTTTACTCTTATACTTCTTATTTAACTTTTTATTAGTATTTTTTGGTAAAATATCATGATTTATATCTTAGTTTTGTTTCTATCATGATTTATTTTTTAGTAGTTAATTATAGTTTTTATTAAATTAGAGGAGAAGTATCTCTTCTAAACACTAATATTATTTTCTATAAAACTAGTATTTATACTGATAACTTTATTTACAACTGTTTATGCTTTATAATATTTTTTTTTCTTATTCCTAAACAATCTTAAATACTTTGCATCCAATGGATGCTATAAGTAATAAGATAGAATTAATAGAGTAAAACATTAAAGTAGTAATAGAATCAGAAATATTTATGGTCACAGTTTAAAATTTTTTACGCTTTTTTTTTATTAAAAAATCTAGTTATAAAATACTATTTAATTGGTAAATCTTCTAATAAGTAGTTTAAACACCATCATTTTATAGTTTTATAACCTGAAGTCAATTAATACTGTGATAGGATTCTAAACATCTCTTATCTAACTTATAA